GTTGAACAGAATGCTGAATAAAATTATGTATATTGTTGACATAATTTTTCTGTTAGATAAAATGACAAATTAAATGACTGTGGTCCAAATATAGCCATGTATTTAATAACAGTGATAAATAAACTTAACATAACAGCTCCATGATAGTTTGTGTATTTTGTTGCCTGCAGGATATTTTGACTTCAGATTACTGAAAGACTAATGTTGCATAAAATGACAGAGAAATCCTTATTAAGTGTACTTTACACAAATAACACAGAACATTAAAATATCAAAATACAAGGAGAGTTTAAAGGCTTCCTCTTGAAGAACCACATGTTGGTAATTACCTTAACACCCTGGAGAAAACACTGACCCTACTGCCCACTTCATTTATTAACACTGTGTAATTTACACCCTAAATAAATCTAAGCCCTTTAATTCACAACACAATACTTCTGTGTACAGTGTTAAAGCTCAGCTCTTCTTATCTAAAGCTAAACAAGTCATGGCTCTGGTGTTTTGTCTGTTACCTTATCAATGTGGGGGTGCCAGTACTCATCATGCTGGGTCTTGGCTTCAGTACTGTTGATTCTGGAGAAGAAGGTAGGCTTAGTGAGGTACATCAGAGAGGGGTCCAAACCAAACGTCTCGGCAATGATGGTCTGGATTCTACCACGAACGTCTCTAAACATGAGAAATGGAAACAAGATTCAAGTTGAAACAGACGTTTTTCTTTCATTAAGACTCTGATGTTTGATGGTCATTTCATCCCTTCATCAGATCTTACTCCCACTCTCAAAATCCATACCCAACAGCTGTGGTTCCATAAAGGTAGGGTACAAACTGCTTACTGTGTAAACACTTACCATGTACATGTTTAACCTCATGCATGTGACCTTGCAAACACATTATTTTAGGCACCAGCTCCTTGCCACCACGCACAGCATTAGTTTGTGCTTTAATGCAGTCAACACATTTAGACATACAGTAAAAAAAATAAGAAAAACAAGTGCAATCCTCGTGATGCAATGAGCCAGACATATTCAAAAGGTTATTCTAGTACAATAAATCATCCACACTGCGACATGCATAATGGTTCAGTCACAGGGTTTGTACTTTTAGGCAACATTCTGAAGTGTTATGTTATTTTAGGAGCCTAATCCCTGATTTGAAAAGTGCATTTATAGATTATTTTTCTGTTTCAGGGTCTGAGGTGTCATAAAACAGTCTGGACTGCAGCTCTGAAAGTCCAGGTTCAGCCACACCAGTGATGATAAAAATAAGAATAGGCAGTAGAAAAATTGGCCCAAATCTGCTTATCTTCAGATCAAGTGCAGTCCAGTAGATGAAATTATCAAGTGGTAAAAAAAATGAGCAAAAAAAGACCTTTTAATGCCAAGAAGATAAAGTTCCAATCTGACAGAAGGACAAACTGACCTGGAGCTGACTTTAATTAATAAGGAGTATGGTCAAAGTAAGTATTTTACACCACTTGGAGCAGATGGACTTTTATGAGGTTTTAAAAATATCAAATAATTAAAACTGAAATTACTAAATATTTCACTGCAAAACTGAACATTTTATTGCCCCCATAACAAGTGGGCAGTCATGGACTTACCTTTTATTTGTGTGTGTGTGTTATAAAGATATTTCATGAACCAATGAAGTATTTCTTCAGCTGCTCATGCTCATAAAGTTTTCAGCCCGTTCCCTCAGGCAGAAGGTAGAGCAGCCTAAAACCTGGACGAAAAGCCTGAGGAGCAGCTTCTTCCCTGAGGCTGCGAGGCTCAGGAACGCAGACCCTTAATCTGCCCTCTGGACCTCGTGTTTTATAGGATTTAGGTGCTTAGGTCCTTTATTTATTTTTAGCTTCCTTTGGAAACACATTTCACTGGCTGACAATCTGAATCCAAAGGATTTTTATAAAACTCTGAGAAAGGAATGACAGAACAAACATGTACAACTGATTAACATCTGACGTCAGCTTGATTCATGGCTGAACAGCTACTCACGAGGGGAAAAAGAAAAAGAGCTTTTACTCAGTCACTTTTACAGATATTG